AATGAAACTGACAAGTGTTATAGGAAATGTCATTTCCCCAAGTGTTCATCGAGTGATAAGGAAAGATAGGGAGAACAGGGGGAGGGGGTGTTGCTGCAGCAAATTACCAGTGAAGCTTCGAAATCAAAGCTTCGAAGCTTTGATACATTAAAGCTTTGAAGAAGTCAAATTAACAGAGGCGCCAATCAGCAAAACAGCATTCCTGATCATGCAAAGCTGATCAGGAATGTACAGAGGAGGACTTGGGGAAGTTACAGGACCTTGACAATCTCCAAGAGTGGGCAAATATGTGGTTGCTGGAATTCGATCCCAACAAGTGTAATGTAATGAAGATGGGAGAGAGGAGACCAGAAGGCAGCTACACCATAAGGGGAAGGCAGCTACAGGACTCAGAAAGAGAAGGATCTGGGCGAGGATAGTGTTCCAACACTCACACCAGAGACACACACTAACAGGGTAACATCAGCAGCATTTGGGACGCTGCCAAATATAAAAACATCGTTTAGAAACCTGAATCAAGCCTCCTTCAAGGCAATCTACACAACATTTGTCAGATCAGCACTGGAATATGCAGCACTGGAATGGAATCCGCACCCTGTCAAGCTGAAGTTGAAAAAGTACAAAAGTTTGCAACTAGATTAGTGGCAGATCTGACAAGTAGAACGTTACAGAACGTGTAAGTACATCCAGCTAGGAGCTCCAATATATCTACGGGCTCACCGTAGCCCGTGCTACTTTGAACTTTGTTCAAGGTAGCGAATCTTTAACAACAACAACATAGGAGCTCCATCACAACATTCCCAACACCATCCCCCCCTCACCACCATCACCATCCCCCCTCACCACCATCACCCCCTCCCCCCCTAAGACTCACCATCACCAGACAAAGAACTATTGAGTATGGACCTGGTGCTCGTGGCACGGAGCTGTGATGGTGACCTTTGATACAACCCGCCCTCACTTGTTTCACTGTTTATGTCTGCGGGATCCACACTTTAGCTCCTGGGCCCCGACATGCTTCCTGTCGGTTGTCTACTGTACCGACTCTTCCCCACCTTTTTCATGTATATCTTTTACATGTGTTCATCTCTCTTATATACACGCATATATTTAAAACACCTGTGTCTTAACCTTTGCATAAGCATGAAGAATAACGTTGTATAAGGCGTATATATACACTGAGGTGTACTCTGAGAGGTGTATTATGTGTCTCGGTGTATACATACTGAGTTTACAGTAGTATAAGTATACTTTACCAGACAAGTATACTTTAATCCTTCACAATGTTCAGGATTAAAGTATACTTCTCTGGTTGGTCAATAAGCTGTTGTGGTGACCTTAATAACCCTCCAGAGGTTAATTGGCCTTAATAGACTGTTGTTTAATGCCAGTATGACAACGGTGACACAGGTACCGGTGGTGTATACCGGTGTTGCAACGCTGACACAGGTACCGGTGGTGTATACCCATGTTGTAACGCTGACAGGTAAACCCGTCAAGATGGCTATTAAAGCCATGGAACACAAGGAAGGAGAGACGTCAATAGGGGGCGTCTGGTGTCGTTAAGTCGACCGACTGTATACATATACATGGCAAAATAGCTTTAGATAAAGTAAATAAGATATCATCGGTGGATCATAGGGGGTCTATGTACACATTAAACTACCACTCACAGGATGAGTATGGTGTACACAGTAAACTACCCCCACAGGATGAGTATGGTGTACACAGTAAACTACCCCCACAGGATGAGTATGGTGTACACAGTAAACTACCCCCACAGGATGAGTATGGTGTACACAGTAAACTACCCCCCACAGGATGAGTATGGTGTACACAGTAAACTACCCCCACAGGATGAGCATGGTGTACACAGTAAACTACCCCCCACAGGATGAGTATGGTGTATACAGTAAACTACCCCCCACAGGATGAGTATGGTGTACACAGTAAACTACCCCCACAGGATGAGTTAGGGGCGTCAGCACCAGAAGACAGGATGTTTGTCACAGCTTCTTAAGACAAGCGCCAACGAGTGCATAACATTCTGAATCATTTGCATTCTACATAAACCGTGACTAATTCTGTGTCTCTAGCCTCCCTTGCCTCTCCCCTGGAGTGTCAACTTGATGTGGCACAGACACTTGTATCCCCCAACAGTCTAGTGGTAGCCTCACCCAACTTTGCACCAGGATTTCTGTGGGGTACGTGCCCAACATGGTTGGGGTCGCTGTAAGTCAAGAGAAAAGAATGCATCACAGTCGCATACTAAACCTCACAGAGGTATTTGCACTACACACTGGCTAAATACTTTGAACAAATCTAAATAATTGTTTTTCATGCAGTATTCTAAAAAAATTATGCAGTTATCATTGGAAAATGGACAAATTCTCTATCACACTTTACCCATAGTAACGAGAACTGTCTGAGGTCATTATTTTTGTTTTCCCGGTTAGTTCTTGAGCAGTTTATCAGTTTTTTTATAATCTGAGAGAGAGAGAGAGAGAGAGAGAGAGAGAGAGAGAGAGAGAGAGAGAGACACAGACAGACAGAGAGAAAGACAGAGACAGAAAGAGAGAGAGAGAGAGAGAGAGAGAGAGAGAGAGAGAGAGAGAGAGAGAGAGAGAGAGAGAGAGAGAGAGAGAGAGAGACACAGACACAGACAGACAGAGAGAAAGACAGAGACAGAAAGAGAGAGAGAGAGAGAGAGAGAGAGAGAGAGAGAGAGAGAGAGAGAGAGAGAGAGAGAGAGAGAGAGAGACAGAGAGACAGAGAGACAGAGAGAGAGAGACAGAGAGAGGGGAGAGAGAGAGAGAGAGAGAGAGAGAGAGAGAGAGAGACAGAGAGAGGGGAGAGAGAGAGAGAGAGAGAGAGAGAGAGAGAGAGAGAGAGAGAGAGAGAGAGAGAGAGAGAGAGAGAGAGAGAGAGAGAGAGAGAGAGAGAGAGAGAGAGAGAGAGAGAGAGAGAGAGAGAGAGAGAGAGAGAGAGAGAGAGAGAGAGAGATACTATATTCCCCCATACATTAGTGACATTGAGGACTTGCGTGAGAGAAAGCAGTGTGGTTTAAGAGGGTGTAAGGGCGAGTATGGTGCTGTAGTAGTGAGAGTATCGCCTCTAGTGACTGTGGTCACCAACACTCTCACCCTCTCACCGGATGTCCTCATGATTGCTCCTCCTCATCTCTACTTGTTTCTTTCTTCTTTCATATTTGTGGTCTATTTTTATCATTTCATTCTTTCCGATAATTGCTTATCTATCACTTCTGTTATCCCCTTCCTGTCTTTGTTGACTTGTTTGCTTGATTTGTTTATATCCTTGAGTTTATTTCTAAAACTCTTGATTAATCTGGTCTATTATCCACTTCCTGGTTCATTAAGTAACTCATTTGGATTATATGCCGATTAATTGTGGGTGTGATGAACTATCTAATTTATACACATTTTCTAACATTTTAGATTGGTCTAATCCCTCGCTGTCGATACCAATCCCTTCAACCTTGGCCAATATCGTTTAAGTTCTTAATTTGTTATAATTATATATATTGATGTCATACACTGGGATCGAACCTGCGTGCCTGGATTTGGAGGAGTCCTACAATACTGCCTCAATATTCAGATTAATCACGTTCTTGAGACTTCTTTGTGAATATTACTTAGTCATCTGAATGCCAATGGGACAGATTGCATCGTTACCCAGTGTCTAACAGGAAGTTTAGACGACATATGAACAATACCAGTTGTCCAATTAACTGCATAACCCATACACTGGGTGTACACCTGGAGTGTATACAGGTATTTGGCCACCAGGATGTTGTTTTAAATTTAGCTACTCAGAACGAAGTGTCCATGTAGCACGGGCTATGGTGAGCCCGTAAAAAAGGCCAGCAGGAGCCCGGGGCCATGATTATACCATCCGTAGTTAGTGAGAAGGTGGAGAATATTACAGATGGACTCTGAACCTCGGAATGGGTAACTGGAGGGTGAAGTCAAGTCCATGAGGGGATTAAGAAGCGGTCTAGAGACTGAGATGAATGTGGTTAACAACACGGGGAGAGTGAGACATGCTGAGAGAGAAAGATACTGAGGCTGAGAATGATACTGAGGCAGATAGAGTCATCTTGAGAGAGAGAGATACTGAGGCACACACAGAGATCACACTAACGTCATGCATCAAATGAACAAATCCACAAGGGATTTGTGGATTTCAACCCTTTTACCCTGTCGTAGCTCAGTCGATTAAAGCAGTGTCTGGGATGCTCCCGGACGCAGGTTCGAATCCTCGTCACGGCCCTTGTGGATTTGTTCATACTGAGGCAGATAGAGTCATCTTGAGAGAGAAAGATACTGAGGCAGATAGAGTGATCTTGAGAGAGAAAGATACTGAGGCAGATAGAGTCATCTTGAGAGAGAAAGATACTGAGGCTGAGAGTCACCCTGAGAGAGAAAGATACTGAGAAACAGATGCGGAAAGACAGAGATAATGGGGTGAGACACGGTACTACCTCTTGAGACAATGAGACACAGCATCAAAATCTAACCACACATTATACTAATGCAAACATAGACAAACAAACACGTAACATAATGACATGAACGCGAACTAAGCAAAAGAAGACGTGAGAGACAAAGAGAGAAACACACACACTGAGAAACATGAGAACAGAGAGAGGGGTGAGAATCAACACCAGCTTGTGACACATTAACTAACAAACCACAAGATGGCCGCCGTGGGAAAAGGAGTTTTTAAGACTGACAAACACAGCAACATCACTAAACGGAAATACCACAAAAACAACGTTGAAGTGACACAAGAAACGTTGAAAGGAAGGGACGTAGAAAAACGTCGAAGGGAAGGGACGCAAAAAAAACGTTTTGCGTCACTCTCGTTGCAACGTTTCTCTCAAGAAACGTTGGAGAGACGCAAGAAACGATCGTGACTGGGACGATATCACCAGGGCCCCGTCACAGGGAGAAGCAGCACACTAGACAGGAAACTGTGTTATCTCCACTACTGCGAACACAAACCACCACCTAGAGCCTAACAACATCCATACTTGCATCACCACTCTTGCTTCTGAACATATCAACATGACATTTTGTTGCGTTCATTTATTATGGACCCCATACCCATGCCGTGGGGGAGTAGTGGACCCCATACCCATGCCGTGGGGGGAGTAGTGGACCCCATACCCATTCCGTGGGCGGTAGTGGACAAGATCACAGAGGCACATAATGGGTTTAGAAACTAAACCCCAAATTCATTTAGCTAGCAAGTAGCAGTCTTGATTAGTTAAATAGTTTAATATATACATACGTGAATGGTTTTTGGTCGCACGATTAATTGAAAAACTAGCCTCAACAGCTTCTAGGTCGAGTAATTTGCATCTGTAGTGAGCCAGTTAGTGACTAATGATGTTCCACACGCCTATTCAATGGGCGGCATATATGGGGAGTTTACAATTATGAGCAGACTACCTACAGTAAGTAAACTTTGGATATTTGGCTAAGATTTCTGGTAGTACATCATTTTGACTGACATACTCAAACATTTCTTGAACATTCGTAATAGGTATATCTGAATTTTGCGATTTTTTTCCCCACATTCAGTTACGTAGTGACGTAAAGTTTGTGAATAGTTCTGTTTACATGTAGTCAGATCAACGTCAACAGGTAGCGCGGCTCCCAGCAGGAGTGTAGCCGAGCCTATAACATAGCCTAGGCTAGGCTATTAGTACGTCTAGAGTATACCAAGGAGTGTATCACAGCTTGTGTATGTGTGTATACACAAAGTTTACTTGTCTTAGATTATGGTCAGAGCTGAAGAATAATTGCTGATTGGTCATTATGCTATTATGGTGACATTAATTAACCATCCACAGATTGAAATTGAAATTGAAATTGAAATAAGTTTATTGAGGTAAAATACACACAAAGGGATGAAGTAGCTCAAGCTATTCTCACCCCGTTCAGTACATCGTGTTAATACATACATAGACACACATCACAAACAATAAACATATTACCAAACATTCTGAGAGATAAACATATACATTTCCTGATCCACAGATTTATAACTTAAGTGCCTTAAGCCTAACTTCACCTCTATACAGTGTATCAGATCTCCAATTTTATAGATGGAGGACAGAAATAAATGCGTATATGCTGGTTAGCATTATAACTAAAGTGTTTTTCACTGTTGGGGACAGGAAGCCTGTTAGTCTTATCAAAGTCCCGCTACTGACCTTCCTCAGGATGCAATCCACAACAGTTGCCAAACTCTTATAGGTAACTATTTACAGTTAGGTAAACAGCGGCATCAGGTGTAAGGAATCGTGTCCAAAGGTCTCGTCCTGTATGAGAATGCAACCCGGGACCAAACGATTGTGAACCAGGTAACTATTAGTAATGCTAGTCGCTAGTATAGCAGAAAACATCAAAACATATAGGATGAAACTGCATCGTTCCCCTCTTAAGCAATTAAAGGAGAAATTTCACTCTTACCAATAAGATGAATACATAATATAGATAGATATGTAGATATATAGTGATATAGATAGATAAAGAGAGAGATAGAGATATAGATAAAGGGATATGAGTGTGAGGGGAGGAGTTTGAAGGTGGCGGGTTGTGACGCGGGGAGGAGTTGCCTGGGCCAGGCGGCAGAGGGCACCTGCCCGGTCACCCTCAGTGATGTGTTTACAACCAGCGGGTGCGGACGAGAGGGAACAGCTGGTCTGTTTTCACTCTCCTGTCAATTATTGTGAATAGAATCATGTGATTAGCGAGTGCGTCTAGTGTCATGACGAGTGTGTGTCTCCCGGGGAGGGTGCAATAGCGGGCGCCGCGCTCTAATATGCCTAGGAGAGGCTCGTGTGCGGTGTGGCAGGAGCCCCACACAACATGAGTATGTGTGTGTCAGCTGTGTCTTGGGGCCACCTAGCTCGTCGCCCCGGCGTCCAGGCATGTGTCTTGCTGGTCTCCTCCGCCAGGATGGGGTGGTTAGCGAGAGATGTGATGCACCGGGGATGCTGTAAGCCACGGGGTGTGAAGGAGAACTAGCGGCCCCCACACACACACACACACACTGTGGACGTCGCTATATATGAGCTGTGGTGACGGGCAAGGCGGGCTATAGCCTGAAGTAACCACTGAGGCAAAGCTAAGACAAACTGACCAACAATGCAGGCCAAGAAACGTTATTTACTCTTGTTTAGTTGCTGTGCTTTCCTGTCTTTTGGCTACTTCGGTTACCATCATTTCAAAATGCAGCGACAGAGCAAGTGGTACGAGCACCTCTCCAGCTACTCTGAAGACTCAGATGTAGTGCATGACGAGGACATATCTCCGAGCCCAAGGTTAAGACATAGAAGAACTAGTAGAGAAAATGACGACACCTCGGCGAATAAAGAGTGCCGGATGGAGACGTGTTTTGATTTTACTCTGTGTGAAAAAGGTTTTAAAGTGTACGTGTATCCAGTGGATGACAACGCAGCTCCCAGCAGTAACTATATGAAAGTGCTCAATGCGATACAGGATTCAAATTATTACACATCAGACCCTAGTCAGGCTTGCATATTTGTTCTAAGTCTTGACACACTGGATAGGGACACCCTAAGCAAAGATTACATAAGAAATATGCCTCATAGAATTCAACGATTGCCTTTGTGGAACGGTGGACAGAATCACATAATTTTTAACCTATATTCGGGCACCTTTCCCGACTATAATGAAGACCTTGGGTTTGACGTTGGTAAGGCTATATTAGCTAAAGCCAGCATATCCTATGAAAATTTCCGGTCTGGATTTGACATTTCACTCCCACTGTTTCACAAAACCCATCCTGAACGGGGTGGCGATGATGGCTACCTAGAATCTAATAAATTCCCTGGGACCAAGAAGTACCTCTTGTCATTTAAGGGCAAAAGGTACGTGTATGGTATTGGTAGTGAAACACGGAACAGTCTATACCACTTGCACAATGAACGTGATATTGTACTCTTGACAACGTGTAAACATGGAGATAGCTGGAAAGAATACAAGGACGAGCGATGTGACCATGACAACGCAGAATATGACAGGTGAGTGCCGTAATGTAATGACTGTAACATCTAAATCATAAATGAAACTACAGTGCCTATTACCAGCTTAATTATACAATAATACAGTAAACTAATGGCATGTCTGATGCTGTAATATGCTGTTACTTAATACAGCATAATTGATAACTTGTTTTATTTTGTTGTCATTAAATGTCACCATTTAAAAAAAAATAACCTGAATTTACCTGAGAGCCACTATCTCGCTAGTGGCCTTGGTAAGGACAGGATGCTAGCCGCTTATCAATAAGTTCCTATTTGTCCTGATGATTTGGGGACAGGAAATGTAATTATTTTACTTATCCTGTATGAATTTTATTGATTTAAGACAGCCTAAAGATACAAGAGACACTAAAGAATTTAACAAGTTGATTTGGCTTAAAGTTTAATACTGTATTTAACTGTTGTTTTCCAGTAATGACAAGGCTATACAGTACAGTAGTTACTGTGACATAACCGTACTTGTGATCTAGTTGATACTGTACAAGGTTACCATATAGTTATTATGACAACACTAGGCACATTAGTTACTTCTGTTACCATGACATGTTTGTGACAGTAGGCACCAGGATAGGCTCTGGTGCTATGACATTTCAGTGATAGTAAGCACAGGGATAGGCCCTGGTTACTATGACATGTCAGTGACAGTAGGCACCAGGATAGGCTCTGGTTAGCATGACATATCAGTGAAGGATATATAATTATTTAATTAAACAGTACTTGGCTTTAGCATATATTTTTTAGCTTATATTTTTTTAATACAGTATTATAGTTGTACTTTCAGAATTTGAGCATAATACTAAACCGTATTATATTCTAGAATGTTTGCTACGTAACCAAAGAAAAACGTATAATTTTCCGAATGACATTAGCATTTTTATTTCTTTTTAGCCTGATATTTTAGATATAGGCTTGCCTAGGCCTACTGTAAAGTCCTCAAATGTTACATATGTCCATTGTTTAGAATTACTTTAGAAATTTATTTATTCATTAACATTACCATATATCCCTGGCTTATAAAATAAAAGTTTCAGTGTTGACCATTTGTCTTATTTATATTTCATCTTACAGGTTCTATTAAATATTTTGAGTTTATCACCATTTTGACTTCAAACTTTAAATGCATTAGTTTGAGCAAAAGCAGCATGGCTATTGTTGAAACTGAGCAAAAGCAGCATGGCTATTGTTGAAACTGAGCAAAAGCAGCATGGCTATTGTTGAAACTGAGCAAAAGCAGCATGGCTATTGTTGAAACTGAGCAAAAGAAGCATGGCTATTGTTGAAACTGAGCAAAAGAAGCATGGCTATTGTTGAAACTGAGCAAAAGCAGCATGGCTATTGTTGAAACTGAGCAAAAGCAGCATGGCTATTGTTGAAACTGAGCAAAAGAAGCATGGCTATTGTTGAAACTGAGCAAAAGCAGCATGGCTATTGTTGAAACTGAGCAAAAGAAGCATGGCTATTGTTGAAACTGAGCAAAAGCAGCATGGCTATTGTTGAAACTGAGCAAAATATTCCTGTAGTAACTTTATTTTTTCATGTTGTATCTTATGAATACAACGTTGGGCATCATATTGTCCAACCACTTGGACCAGTTGGTAGAGCAACGACCTCGCTTTATTCAGGGTCCGTATTCAAACTCTGATGGTGCAAGAGTTTGTACTGTACTGTACTCTGATGTACAGTAGTTGGGCACTGTTCCTTCAGAATGTCCTCATATGCTTGCTCCTGTCCTGCTCTCATATCCCTTCCTTGTACTATGTCTAAAGTGAGAGCACTTGTGCTCTGTAGATTAGAGCATGAAAACAAGAAAAAGTGTTTCTTTTATTATTCGATTGGCCACATCGAGGGAAGAATGGACCTTAGTTGATCTGATGAGAATGAACATAAAATACTGTAAGACTACTGTCTTCACTAAAACTGTTATTTGGGAACAGGAAAACAATGTTCCCAACAGACTACTGTACTGTGTTTGGATATGGCAATAATGATACTGAATGGTTAGACACCCAACTCTCACATATTAAAACTCAGGAAAGTGATGAGGTATTATGTCCATCTAGAACCCATATGTAGTCATGTCACACGACTTTACAAGAGTTGTGTTGGATGTTTAATTTTCAGCACATTATTGTGACTTACTCTCTGCATTCCAAATGGTTAATAAAGTAGAATGTCTAAGAATAAAAGCACATATATTTTTTTTTTTTAAATGCTGTATATACAGTACAAGAGTTCTTACATTCTTGTAAAGCCACTAGCATGCATAGCATTTCAGGCAGGTCCTTAATCTTATTTTTCACTGGAATATGACCTGCCAAATTGTTTAACAACCATGGACCTATTCACAGCAGGGTGAACAGAGGAATATAGTTAAGGATTGGTGCCCAGTCAATCCTTCCTGACCAGGATACGAACCCAGGACAAATCGCTCATGAAACGCGAGGCGAGTGTCTTACCACTGCACCATGGGAACTCCATTGAATTTATATAAAAAGTCCACAGCTGTTCAACACCCAGTAATCAATAGAAATATTGACGGAATAAAGGTTGATGTATTCAAGAGGCATTTAGGTAAGTTCTTGCAAGAAGTGCCGGACCAGCCAGGCTGTAATGGATATGTGGGCCTGCAGGCCGCTCAAAGCAACAGGCTGTTGGACCAAGTTATCACAAGTCGAGCTTCTCGGACCAGGCTCGGGGAGTATAACAACTCCCAGAACCCCCTCCAGGTATGCTCCACATATAAAAGCGGAGAGACCTATTTAATAAATCGTAGGAAAAATATAAGGGGCACGTTAGTCCTGTACCTTAGTGAAGTCGGTTCACAACTGAAAGATTGTGGGTTCAATTTCCTTGACAGGACAAGACATTTAACATGTTTCCTTTCACCTTTTTTTTTTTTTTTTTTTTTTTTTTTTTTTTTTTTTTTTTTTTTAAGATATATACAAGAGTTGTTATATTCTTGTACAGCCACTAGTACGCGTAGTGTTTCGGGCAGGTCCCTGGAATACGATCCCCGCCGCGAAGAATCGATGTTACAACTAAGTACACATTTTACTGTTGCGTTACCTAGTACAATACAATATCATGTACAGGACTGCTAAGGGTATCTATTGATAATAGTTTTGCATTATCAGGGACAGAAAGCCTGTTAGGCTTTGGCTTATCAAAGTCTCTTATGCCAGTTGTTGGCTTATCACCTCAGGATGCTACCTACAGTGGGGCCTGATAGCCGAGTGGACAGTGCTCTGAACTCGTAATCCTAGGGGTCCGGGTTCGATCCCCAGTGATGCCAGAAACAAAATGGGCAGATTTTCTTTCACACTGATGCTCCTGTTACCTAGCAGTAAATAGGTAACTGGGAATTAGACAGCTGTTACGGGCTGCTTCCTGGGGGTGTGTGTGTGGAAAAAAAATAGTACTTTAGTTAGTAACAGTTGATTGATAGTTGAGAGGCAGGCTGAAAGAGCAGAGCTCAACCCCCACAAGCACAAATTCAGGAGTCACTCCTAGAATTCACTAGGTGAATTCAGGAGTCACTTTACTTAAAGGACAAATCGGTTGCATGTTAACTGCACTAACCACTACCCTGTATTTATAAGAGGTCTCCATTACATTTTTTATGGGATCGATAAATCTGTTAAAATTGTTGCATACAGTATTAGTAACAATCTTCATAATGTTTTCTGTGCATTGGTCGCAATAGGTTAAGTGGTTTGCTTGGATTTGAGCTAACTCTTCAAATCACTTGTGCTGTCACGGCTTGAGTACGGCTCAGTGCTCACTTCCCCATTCAGAGCTGGAGAGATTGCTGAAATAGAGGGAATACAGAGAACATATACGGCATACATAGATGCGATAAAGCACCTAAATTATTGGGAACGTCTCCAAGCTCTCCAAATGTACTCACTAGAAAGGAGACGAGAGATATCAAATAACATATACGTGGAAAATACTGGAGGGCCAGGTCCCATATCTACACAGTAAAATAACAATGTACTGGAGTAAACAATATGGAAGAAAATGCAGAATAGAATTAGTAAAGAGCAGGGGTGCCATAAGCACAATCAGAGAACACTGTATAAACATCAGAGGTCCACGGTTGCTCAACATCCTCCCAGTGAGCATAAGTAGAAGGTATCTTCTACTCCCCAAGCAGGGGAGTAGAACAACTCCCAAAACCCCATCAAGCAGGTATCACCTAGCGGTATATAGGTACCTGGGAGTAAGGCATCTGTTGTGGATTGCATCCTGGGGAAGGTCCACTTTCCCAGGAGACTTGGTCCAACAAGCTTTGCTTGAAGTGACCCGCAGGCCCACATATCCGCTACAGCTCGGTTGGTCCGGCACTTCTTGCAAGAACTTATCTAAGTGCCTCTTGAATATATCCACCTTTCCGCAATAAGAATTAAATTGGGAAATTCCCGTACAAATGGGTAATGTCTTAAAGTATGGAGTGTGGCATTGTCAAGATACTAAGTATAGTACTGTACTACACTTTATTGTATATCTGGACATCTACATATTTTTGTTAATTTCTAAATGTAGTAAGTACAGTATTATATTTACACACATGACTGGGATTTTATATATAGACACTCCTTGTTACTTGTATAATAAACATGTTATTTATAATTTTTAACAATGACTTGTTTGGGCTCAGTGTTGAAGCATATGTTACTACAGGGTATTTCCTGGGCTACTTTGAAAACCACATAGAAAACACCTCATTAATTTTATCCACTTATGTAGACTTTAACATCCCAATTTTGAGGTAAAAGATGACAAAGACAAATATTTCTGTACAATAATAATTGACATAAAGCCTTGATTAGTATATCAGAAAGCTAAAAAGATTGTGAAAAGTTTACAAAATAGACAACAATGCAGTCAGTTTGATCTTGTCAAACAACTAAGGATATAATATGCTCAAATGCAACTTATTCAGACCACTACCTGACTGGCATAAAAAAACATAAGAG